TTTATTAACACGTACTGGTTTGGGCAGGACTTGAACGATGAGGTGCAACAACTGCAGGAATCGCTGGGACAAACGGAAACGTCCATAGATTTTCTACCTCAGCAAGGGTTCACCCAAATGCTGCAGGCGCTTGAGGTGAGTGAATCTCTTTTTCCGAATTTTTGAGCCGATTTTCGCAGTTTCGAAACACGTTTGTTAACAGTATTTCAACCGTAAGGCACGCAATTGTCTTTAGCAAGTGGCCGAACCATATGCTTAAGACAACAATCGTTCTTGGGTTATTTTCGCATTTGCCCAAAGAAGGCACCGGTCAAGGTAAACCCTCGAACATGTGCGCTCAAGAGCACTTTTGCACTGTTGTTATGAATTTTAATCGATTTTCTAATCAATGAAAATTGCCTTTTATATGCTCACTTTAAGCAGTGTCACTGCGCTTCTGGGGCGATTAATTGAGGGTTTTTAGACTCATTTCAGCCGACGGTTTCTTCATTTGCATAACAATGCGAATATTCATCTGCATAAAGCGATAGATAAGAAACAAATATAAAGTGAGACAAAAATAGCGCAAATGTTCACGCCCAGAAATAGCATTCTAATTAAACCTCTGCACAAACTCAAACGAAAATATCTTTCAATTAGATCATCGACGCGAATTTGTCCGCCATTGACCTCAACGAAGAGGCAACGATGACGCCATTCAAAGGTCGTGATTAAAACATTTTCATATCAAGAATAGGCGATTAATAAATGTAATCGATTAGAAATAAACGGGAAAAGTCGCCAAGTTTGATGGCGTTTAAAGGCTGATTTGTTACTAAAATCTATTGCAGGAAATGCAAAAGTGGCACGCGAAAAATAGTGGCGACGTTGAAATTTTGGCATCGAATCCCGATTATCCAACAGGACGCAAAAATTGTAAATAGCCTTTCGCTTCGGTTTGAATCAATGAAAACAGTTCCTTTTGTCATTCATATTAATAACGCGGAATTTTCGAAAACCATCATCATCTAAATTAAAGATGATGCAACTACAGGATCACCCGGGGTCCCACATTTTAAACCCAAAATAGAAAAACAACTGAAGGTTTTTAAACAATTACTTGCTGCCGGTTTTCCTTAATCATTAAACGATAAAACAATTATGTTTAGCTAATAAGCCAAGTTGGTATTCGTGTATCAAAAGAGATAGACTTTCTATCTCTTATTGAATTGGTTGCTCCTGGATTTTAATTGTCTTACTTGT